GTTTTTCCAATGTCAAGTATCTTTTCCTTAGACCATGAGATCGTGTAACTCCCGGATACCGTAGGAGTGCTTTGGGTGTACCAAACGTCACAACGTAACTGGGTGACTATAAAGGTATACTACGGGTATCTCCGAAAGTGTCTGTTGGGTTGACACGGATCAAGACTGGGATTTGTCACTCCGTATGACGGAGAGGTATCACTGGGCCCACTCGGTAATACATCATCATTATGAGCTCAAAGTGACCAAGTGTCTGGTCACGGGATCATGCATTACGGTATGAGTAAAGTGACTTGTCGGTAACGAGATTGAACAAGGTATTGGGATACCAACGATTGAATCTCGGGCAAGTAGCATACCGATTGACAAAGGGAATTGTATACGGGGTTGCTTGAATCCTCGACATCGTGGTTCATCCGATGAGATCATCGAGGAGCATGTGGGAGCCAACATGGGTATCCAGATCCCGCTGTTGGTTATTGACCAGAGAGCGATCTCGGTCATGTCTACATGTCTCCCGAACCCGTAGGGTCTACACACTTAAGGTTCGGTGACGCTAGGGTTGTAGGGATATGTATATGCAGTAACCCGAATGTTGTTCGGAGTCCCGGATGAGATCCCGGACGTCACGAGGAGTTCCGGAATGGTCCGGAGGTAAAGAATTATATATAGGAAGTGCTATTTCGGCCGTCGGGACAAGTTTCGGGGTCACCGGTATTGTACCGGGACCACCGGAAGGGTCCCGGGGGTCCACCGGGTGGGGCCACCTGCCCCGGGGGGCCACATGGGCTGTAGGGGTGTGCGCCTTGGCCTATATGGGCCAAGGGCACCAGCCCCAAGAGGCCCATGCGCCAGGAGATCAAGAAAGGAAGAGTCCTAAAGGGGGAAGGCACCTCCTAGATGCCTTGGGGAGGAGGGATTCCTCCCTTGGCCGCCGCCTCCCTAGGCTCCCTATATATAGTGGGGGAAGGAGGGCCTCTCACACCACGCCTTTGGTGCCTCCCTCTCCCTCTCCAACACATCTTCCTCCTCCATAGAGCTTGGCGAAGCCCTGCAGAAGTACTGCAGCTCCATCACCACCACGCCGTCGTGCTGCTGCTGGAGCCATCTTCCTCAACCTCTTCTCCCCCTTGCTGGATCAAGAAGGAGGAGACGTTACGCTGACCGTACGTGTGTTGAACGCGGAGGTGCCGTCCGTTCGGCGCTAGGATCTCCGGTGATTTGGATCACGTCGAGTACGCCTTCCTCATCCCCGTTCTTTGAACGCTTCCGCGCGTGATCTACAAAGGTATGTAGATGCAATCCGATCACTCGTTGCTAGATGAACTCCTAGATGGATCTTGGTGAAACCGTAGGAAAATTTTTGTTTTCTGCAACGTTCCCCAACAACTTCCGGGTTGTGTGGTTGGACGGCTTCGCGCCGCTGTGGAACTTGCACGGGGCGTCGAGGGTTTGCTCGTAGGAGAAGGCCGGCTGCCAAGCCGGCCTGCCGCCCTTGGATTTCTTGGGCGCGGGCCGCCCTTCGGGCTGCTCGTGTTCGACCGTGGCCACCTGCCGACTGGCGGAAGGCGGCACGGGGCCCTTGCGCTTGTGGTCGTTCTGGTGTGGGCGTCGGCCGGAATCCCTTGCCGGCGTCTTGGGCGCCGGGTTGAGTACTTTCCCGGACGCATCTACCCGGAGCTCGGTCTTCATTGAGGAGTTAGCGGTGGCGTACTAGTCCGCTATGTCTAGAAGCTCGTCGAGGGTAGTCGGCTCGTTGCAGAGAAGCTTGTGCTTGAGGAGGGTGCCTTCTCGACACCCGACAGTGAAGTATTCTATGGCTTGCACCTCGTGCACCCCTTCGCAAGAGTTGCGGAGCTCGGCCCAACGCATGAGGTAGTCGCGAGTAGACTTGGCGGGGCCTTGTACGCACAAGGAGAGCTGTCTGGGCTTGGAAGCCCGCTTGTAGGTGCTGGTGAAGTTGCGAACGAAAGCTTCTGTGAAATCTAGCCAGCTGTTGATGCTGAATGGCTTGAGGCTGTTGACCCAGGTCCGCACCGTGCCTTGCAGCATGAGGGTCACGTACTTCACGGCAACGCGCCTGTTGCCGTTGGCTATGCTAACCGCCGTGGAGTAGTCGATCAACCAATCTTCCGGCTTCACGGAGCCGTTGTACTTGGGCGTGTCTCTTGGGAGCGAGAACCCTTTGGGGAAAGGCTCGTCGCGGATGCGGGGGCCGAAGCAAGGCGGCCGACATCGTCCTCTTCTTCCAGCGCTAGGGATAGCGCCAGGCGGTCGATCCGATGGCGGGCGTCGTTCTCGCCGACTCCTTCGCGGTGACCTAGCCGGCCGCTGAGAGTCGGATGCGCAACAGGCTGCGGGGTGGGATATCTCTCTTCACGGGGCCGAGGCGGAGGCGGGTTGCCCCGCCACTCCACGGCCCGGGGGTGGCCTTCTGCGTCTCGCTCGATGGAGATTCGGGTCCGGCTTCGGCTAGCAGCCGACTCTTTCTCGCGCCGCGCGCGGGTGTTACCCGTAGTCGGTGTCCGGGACGTCGCGCCGTGATCTCGGCGCGGGGGAGGGCTTTCCGCGCGGGCGTCGGCTTCGTGTCGTCGCGCCGCCGCATTAATTAGCTGCTGGATGCGTCTGGTCATGTGGGGGAGTTTTCTTCGGCCCCCAATCCGTCTAGCTCGTCTACGGCCGCCTGGGCGGCGCGCAGGTTCTCGACTGGAGTGGCATAGACCGGGCGGTCGACTCCCAGCGTGTCGGCGATGACAGCGCCACGCTGTCTGACAACACCGGCCCGGCTGGGCCCGCCTGGGTGCGGCGTGCCAAAAGCGGCGCGGTCGGCCTCGCGCTGGTGGGCCTCAGTGAGGCGTCTCATGGAGGCCAGCCTCCGGCCCTCCGCGAGGAGGGCGAGGCGGCGAGCCTCCAGTGCTTCGTCGTCGGCATCAGCCGGGAGGGGGATGGACAAATCGTGAGCCGCCGCATGCGGGGTGTCGTGGGCGCTCTCGTCGGGAGCGTCGCCATGGCCGATGACCATCACCTCGGTGGTGACAGCGTCGCAGCCATCAGCCCGGGGAAGCGGGTCGTTGTATATCGTGACGTCGGTGGGGAAAGTGTCGAGTGAGGCCGTGTCGGAGTCGATAGGCATCGGATCGGTGGAGCCAACCGACTCCAAGTCCATAGCAGGCTCGCCGGAGACGTGGAGCTGGCCGAGGAGGTTAACGAGGTGGTCGGTGCCCGCGTCGGAGGCGAGCTCGTCGGAGATGAAGGTTTTGTCGAGGAGATCGGCGAGGCTGCTCACCGCGCAGATGCTGGTGACGCCTTGCAGCGCGTCGTGGCGAGCGCCATCGGGCGTGTCGGGCTGGCTACGCTCGTTTGGGAGGAAGAGGGTTCCCGTCCAGAACAGGTCTCCGGACGACGGTGCACCTGGCCCCACGGTGGGCGCCAAATGTCGGATGGTAGGTGCGACATATGCCAACGGGTGGCTTATCATTGTGGGAGCCAGTAAAACATTGCCGGTGCTTGGAAACGGGATGAGGCGAAGACATGCACGCCGACGAATCTTACCCAGCTTCGGGGCTCTCCATGGAGATAACACCCCTACTGCTGCTCTGCGGGGCCTCCGCATGATCACTAGATGAAGAAGTAGCTACACGATGCTCCTGGAGCTATTTGGTGAGAGGAGGAAGAAGGGCACGACTCGCTCTCTTCTTCTCCTTATGTGGTGTCTAAAACTAGCAGGGATCAACCCTTTGCATGGATGTCCCAGGGGGTTTATATAGGCCTACCCCCCAGGGGTACAATGGTAAACCGGCTGGGCGCGGGGCCCAGCCGTCTGTGTCTACACTCGCCGGCTTCTGCGCCAACTGCTGGGGCCCGCCGGCTGGTGGATCTCGCCGGCTGCCGGCTCCTTGGCCGACAGGCAGGCCCCACTGTCCAGGGCCTGGTCGGTGGCTGGTTACTGTTGCTCAATTCTGGTGACGAGGGCTTCGCCGAGGTGGGCGTGGCTACAGTGCCGCCGTCCGGCGGGTGATCACTGTAGCCTCACTGCGTCTTGTCTCCTTAATGGGGCGTCCTCTCCGAGGAGAGGGCAAGCCGGATGTGGAGAGCCGGCTCTGTCTCGGGCCGACTAGGGGAGGCCTGGCCGCCTTCGGGTGTCTCTCTGCCCGAAGGGGCCCACCGCCCATGGGCCACACTGGCAGCCCGTCGTGGATGATATCAGGGGCAACGTGGCAACAATGCTGCGCCGGACAGGTCATGGCCACCCGTATGGCGCACTGTGCCAGGCGTGCTCCGGGATTTGGGGGTGGCAGGCTTTACTGTATTCACGCCCCGTCACATCGCCGTTACGTGGATGCAGACTTTGAGGGTACGATCTTGACCGCTTTGTGGGAGCCGGCTTCTTGGAGTCGGCCTTCTCGCGGCCGGCTCCTCGGAGCCGGCCCTCCCGTGGCTCTCTTCATGAAGGCTGAAGTCGGGCCGTCTTCCGATAGTCGGCCTGGGAGTCAGCCGGCAAGGGGAAGGCGGTCCCATGTCTTGGTTTCTTGAGGTCCGGATGGGCTTGCAATTTTTTTCAGAAGGGCCAGGGGGAGCCGGCTAGGCTACCCATGGTTATTTACTCCGACAAAAGTATTCTTTAATTAGTGATTTCGTCGTTTAGATTTTCCTAATAGATTTTTTTGAGAGGAACTCGCCATCTTTATTCAACCAAAGCAAAAGTCATAGGTACAAGGTTAGTTAATCAGACCACTCACAGATGCACTCCTCATCTAATCCGACCACTCACCAGCCCACCCGAGCCTAGCCCAACCCAGCAACCAAGCCCACCCATCTTTTTTTAGTTGAGCCCACCCACCCCATTGGCCCATAAGCCGCGACTCCGAAGGGCGTAGGCGCGAAAAATAGCACATATTCCAGCGCCAAAACAATCCGAAAACCGAAACCGTCTCCCCCTCCGGCCCCGCCCCTGCACCCGCTTCGCGCCAATTCCCGCCACCAACCCACCGGCGGCGGCTATGGACATGTCGGCGATCGCCGCCCGCCTCGGCCTCTCCGGCTCCCGTCCCTTTGTGCGCAAGGCCGCCGAGCTCCGACGCCTCTGCGACATCAACTTCGACTCCTCCGTCCTCGGCATCGTGAGCATCCCGCACCGCCCCTCGAATCACCTCCTCTCCCTCGATCTCTCCGTCGTACGTGTCTCTGATGCTGGTTTCGCGCAGGGGGAGGTGTGCAAGGCCATCATCTGCCTTGAGGTCGCCGCGACCAAGTGAGTTTGGCTTGCTCTCCAAGTGCTCGACGGACTGCACATTTGGAGGTTCCCGCCGGCATTTAAGGCATGTCTGACCCGTCTGTTTTGTCTGATAATTGAGCAGGTTTCAGGTGATGTTTGATCGGTCAGAGGCGGTGCAGATGAGTGGGATGTCGGAGAAGGCATACATCAGATCGTTCAACGCGCTGCAAAATGGCCTTGGTGTCAAGTATGCCGCATTGTGTTTCTGGTTCACTAATTCATACGTGCAAGTAACAGGTATTGATGAATGGAGCGGTTTCTTCTTGTAGGACGACATTGGATGTGCGTGAATTGGGTATCCAGTTCGGCTGTGTCAGGCTGATACCTTTTGTGCAGAAGGGATTGGTGCTGTAAGTCTGCTCCCTTTGGTAGTTCTGTTGTTCTGCCTGCAAGGTTAACTTGCTGTTGATGTCTGGTTATGCAATTGATCTGGGATGCAAAGTTTTGGATGCTCGAAGCCTCGAATGACATACTGATGGTGACATTGTATGCTTCAGGTACAAGGAGCGTTTCTTGGCTGCATTGCCTCCTTCTCGGCGATCAAGCACGGACTTTGGTCGGCCAATGTTTACTGCAGCAGCATTCTATTTATGTGCAAAGAGGCATAAGGTGACAACAGAATCACTAAAAACAGTTCACTTTGCATGCTTGTTGGAAGCGTATAAATGATTTGTTGCCTTTAGTACTTAATCTTTCCTCAATTCCCCTGCAGCTCAAAGTTGACAAACTGAAGCTAATTGACCTGTGTGGTACATCTAGCTCTGGATTTACAACGGTAATGGACTTAATTTGTCATATATTTGCAGACAGTTGTGCACTCCTGCATCTCACATATACATGTTTAGATTGGCGCTGTTTCATTATCCTGTTTTGACTGTTATTTGTGCTGGCTGCAGGTTTCGACATCTATGGGGGACCTTTGTTTTGATGTTTTCGGGATAGCCAAGGAGAAGAAGGATCCAACCTCCATCAAAGGAAATAGAGGTATCCGCACATGCTCTAACATCGATGCAATCATTCTTCATACATGATATGCTAAAAGTTTGTGGGCTGGGTGATTGCCATTTATTGGAACAACTTGTAATTTGCAATTGTTGATGCAGAACTGCTGGATGTTTTGCCTAGCAAAAGGAAACATGAGGATGAATCATCAGGGGATGACAATGATGACAAGCTAGATGTATGAGCCTGCTTAATATGAGTTGCTTTTCAAGTATTACTTTAATTGTTAGTTGTGAAATTCATGACGTAAACCTACAAGTGTTTTGTAACGCCCACGATGCGGCTATATCTCCCACGTGTCGAAGCACGACTTAGAGGCATAACCGCATTGTAAGCAATGTCGCAAGTGGGTTAATCTTCACACAACCCATGTAATACATAAGGGAAAGAGATACATAGTTGGCTTACAATCGCCACTTCACACAATACATGAATATAACATTACAACGTCTAGATACAATCAAGGTTCGACTACAGAACCAAAATAAAAGAAGACTACCCCAAAAGCTACACAAATCCCTGATCGTCCCAACTGGGCTCCACTACTGATGAACTGGACACGGAACAACATAACGAACGCGAATCTCATCGAGCTCCTCCTTGAGCTCAGCCGCGTCACCTGCATGGTATCCTCGGCACCTGCAAACTGGTTTTGGAAGTATCTATGAGACATGGGGACTCAGCAATCTCAACCCTCGCGATCAAGACTATTTAAGCTTATAGGAAGGGTAACGGGTATGAGATGGAGCTGCAGCAAGCGACTAGCATATTTGGTGGCTAACATACGAAAATGAGAGCGAGAAGAGAAGGCAAAAGCACGGTCGAGAATCTATGATCAAGAAGTGATCCTAGAACAACCTACGTCAAGCATAACTCCAACACCGTGTTCACTTCCCGGACCCTGCTGAGAAGAGACCATCACGGTTACACACGCGGTTGATGCATTTTAGTTAAGATAAGTTTCAGGTTTCCTACAACCGAACATTAACAAATTCCCATCTGCCCATAACCACGGGCACGGCTTTCGAAAGTTCAAAACCCTGCAGGGGTGTCCCAACTTAGCCCATCACAAGCTCTCACGGTCAACAAAGGATATTCCTTCTCCCAGGAAGACCCGATCAGGCTCGGAATCCCGGTTACAAGACATTTCGACAATGGTAAAACAAGACCAGCAAAGCCACCCAGATATGCCGACAAATCCCGATAGGAGCTGCACATATCTCGTTCTCAGGGCACACCGGATAGGTCAAGCTACGAGTAAAACCAGCCCTCGAGTTTCCCCGAGGTGGCCCCGCTGGCTGCCCATTTCGGACCAACACTTAGAGAAGCACTGGCCGACGAGGGGGTTAAAATAAAGATGACCCTTGAGTCTGCAGAACCGAAGGGAAGGTGGTAGGTTGTTAGTGCAAATGGTAAAACCAAGGTTGGGCCTTGCTGGAGGAGTTTTATTCAAAGCGAACTGTCAAGGGGTTCCCATTATAACCCAACCATGTAAGGAACGCAAAATCAAGGAACATAACACCGGTATGACGGAAACTAGGGCGGCAAGAGTGGAACAAAACACCAGGCATAAGGCCGAGCCTTCCACCCTTTACCAAGTATATAGATGCATTAATTAAATAAGAGGTATTGTGATATCCCAACAAATATTCATGTTCCAAACATGGAACAAGCTTCATCTTCCCCTGCAACTAACAACGCTATAAGAGGGGCTGAGCAAAGCGGTAACGTAGCCAAACAACGCATTGCTAGGACAAAGTGGGTTAGAGGTTTGACATGGCAATATGGGAGGCATGATAAGCAAGTGGTAGGTATCACGGCATAGGCATAGCAAAAGAGCGAGCATCTAGCAAGCAAAGATAGAAGTGATTTCGAGGGTATGGTCATCTTGCCTGAGAACCCGCAAGGAAGAAGAACGAGTCCATGAAGAAGACAAACGGACGTAGTCGAACGGATCCTCACAAACGCGACGTTATCGGAACTAACCCGAAGAAGCAACACCGGAAAGGAGCAAACAACATAATAAAGAACCATCACATGAACATGGCATGATGCGCAAACAAGTATGATGCATGTCCGGTTTAAAGATATATGGCATGGCAAAGTGCAACAAACAATACTACAATTTAAGTGGAGCTCAATATGCATCGGGATGCATATTGACGAAACACCACATCAATTATTTAGTTCTCTCTCGGTTAGGTACTCAACAATATTAAATGTTGTTTAAACATGGGAAGAGGGTGAAGTATAAGAAAACTACACAATCTAAGCAATTTAAATGGGGCCGAAACATCAAACAACAATTCCGGTAAAACCCCATATGCATTAGCAATTTAGTGCAAACAACAATTTTAAACATTTTAAATGTTATTAACATGATGCGGATGACATGTTCAAATTTATGCAATTTTTATTAAAAATTGACAAGAGCATTAAGAAGCATTTGTCACCGTGGTGGAAAAAAGGGAGTGCCACGGCAACGATAACGGTTCCGGTAGCTCATGGAAATACCGGTGCAAAAGGAAAAGTGATGGGAGCATGCAAAAGATGGTGGGGTGATCCCGGATTCTGGGTTCCCACGGATGGACGGCATGGCAACGAGGAGGACCGAGCAAGTGACAACTCGGACACGGTGCAAACATAGGTTGCAACTCATACATCGCAAGCATTCATCCACGGGCGTCGTCTTGATGGTTATACCTTCGAAGCGTGCGTTATCGGAGGGGTTCAAGTTCGATGCGGTGTAGGGGAAGTAGACGTTCTCGGGACGTTCGGTAGTGGAAGTAGGGGTACATGACGACGGTAGAGGTACTCGTGATCTTGGCGGCGGTAGTCGTTCACGTTCTTAGTTGCACAATTTTCTGTAGATGTTCGGGATCACGGCGAGGGACTTGACGTCCACGGAGGCTTCAAGGGTCGACGGTAGTTGTTCTCGTATCATCGTGGAAGTAGTCGTACTCGGTGATAGTGGTACTTGGCGTTTCGTTCGGTACTCGTTCGAGCATCCAAGGTCTTCGGCGCTACGGTAGTCGTACACACATTCGGAGAGAAGCTCGGCGTATCCATGTACTTGGCGTTATCCGTGCGTAGAGGTACTTGACATCGTGGTACTTGGCGATTTCGGAGACATCAAAAGACGAACTTGGCGATTTCGTTGACCCGGTACTCGGCATATTCCCTGTTCGGTAACCGTTGGACTTAGCGTCAACAACAACAGGGGCACGACGCAGGGACTTGGCGCGATGCAGGGGCGACGGCCGCGGGACTTGGCCATGGTACAGTGGCTCCACGAACACACCAGGGCCAGCACGGAGGACTCCATGGCCGGCGGCCATGACGAGCAGAGGCGTCAGCTGTAGCACCGGGGCGCGTGAAGGGGCGGCTGGAGCCGCGAACGAAGCAGAGGAAAGGAGGTCGGCGCGGATGCGGGGCCTCGCTGGTCGGGCGCGAGGAAGGAGACGCGCGGAGGCGGGGTCCTCGGACTTGAGCGGCGGCGGAGGTTGGTGCTGCTCGCGGGGAAGTGGTCCTGAAGCTCTGGTGGCGCACGCCGGCGCGGGGCAGCGACAGTGGATCACTGGCTGGTCGAGGACGAGGCTCGGCGGCTCGGGGTGGCGCGCGGTAGAAGGAGCAGCTCCGGCAGTGGCGGTCGCTGGACGACACAGTAGCAGCATGGGAGGTGAGGAGGCGGCGGAGCAGGCTCGTCGGCGTTTGAGGGAGGAGCTGGCGATGGGGGCTCTGCGAGGAGAAGCAAGAGAAGAGGTGGAGATCGGGCGGAGATGGGTCACGGGCGAGAGGAACGAAGGAAGGGGAGAGGTGTCGAGGGAGGAAGGAGTCGGGCTGCGCGAGACCCTGGCGGCGCAAGGGGAGACGAGGGAGATGGGATCGAACGGGCTAGGGGTGCGCTAGGGTTAGGAGAGGGGCTTTGGTGGGCCTGGGAGGCCGGCCCAGCTGCGGGGAAGGATAGACAAAATGGGCTGGATCGAGGGGGCTTCTTCTAGACTCTTTCTCTCTTAACCCATCTTTCCTTTCTTAATTCCCTCCGACAGAAATATGTGGAGAAAAGAAAGAGGGGCTAGAGGTAGAATGTTTCAGAAAATAAAATATTCTTGGAGCGTTGGAACTTTGCACAAATAGAATAAAATGGTTTGGCAATTTTTAGAGATAGAAAAATAATTCAAGTTTGAATTTAATTCAAACTTGAGCCATTTTTGAACCCAACCAAACCAAACCCAAATGAGCCGAAATTTGACATGGAGGTGGTATGCATGGGGTATGATTTATAGAGAAAAGGTGAACATTTTTTATGTGATAGAAAAATGTCCCCTACAATGGATGGTTGAATTTGAAAGAAAGAAGCTAGTGATAGTGTTTCAACTTGAAGGGGGATTTGGTGGCAAGAGAAAGATGTAATTGTGTTTGGTTGATTCCATAAGAATGGAATATTGATTATAGCTCCCTAATAATATTGGGAGGATATGTTATGTAGAGAAATCACCATGTGAGTTCCCTCGATTTTAAATGGACCGAAGATCCATGCAATTTATTTAGTTGAGTTAAGAAAAAGAAATGACATGATGGCATGATGACATGATGCAATGCACACGATGCAAAGATGAATGCAACAGACGAAATAAATCACACAACGAAACCCGGAAACCCTGGAAGGCAACTGAAGCTCCGGTCTTGGGGCGTCACAACACTCCACCACTACGAGAGGATCTCGTCCCGAGATCTAGGATGGCACCGGAGGGAAAACGGAAGAGGAAGAGGAGAGGTAAAACTAAGTTGCTTCTATGACAAACGAGTGAAACCACAGAACCTTGAAAGGTTAAACCAATTGAGAGTAGAATACAACGAAGATGAACGAAGTTGAAAGCACTCCGTTATGAAAGAGGAACAAGGAAGAACCAATTCGGACAGCACTCCGGTTGAAAAGAGATGCAAGACTTGATAAGATGAAAAGAACTTGAGTAGAGGACACAACACTCCGGTTAAATTGATAAGCATGAAAAGAAAACAATCCTCGCAATTCGAGATGATGATTGAAAAGAGCAACATCACAAAGCCTCCGGGAGAAAGAATAGAAGCTAGATCGTTGGAAATGAAAGAATTGAGAAGAAAATGACAACTACTGCCACAATTGAGCTTGGAAAAACACCCTTCCAAGAAAATTAT